AATGACTTGTGCCCACCATTATTGTCTCAGATTAATTTCACTGCCCTAAAAATCCCCCATGTTCCACCTATTCATCCCTCCCCACAACCCCTAGCAACCACTGACCTTTCCACTGTCCCCACGGGTTTGCCTTTTTCAGAATGTCATATAGTTGGATTCCAAGTATATAGTCTTTTCAAATTGAATTCTTTCATTTAGAAATATGCATTTTAGTCTCCCCCCTGTCTTTTCATGGCTATATAGATCATTACTTTGCACCATTGAATAATATTCCATTGTCTGGGTGCACAACAGTTTGTTTATCCATTCACCTATTGAAGGTCATCTTGGTTGCTTCCGAGTTTTGGCAATTATGAATAAAATTGCTAAATATTGTGTGCAAGGTTTTGTGTGGACTTAAGTTTTCAACTCCCTTGAGTAAATACCAAGCAGCCAGCTTGCTGGATCACATAGTCAGAGTGGATTTAGTTTTATAAGAACCCCCAGGCTGTCCCAAAGTGGCTGCACCATGTTGCCTTCCCACCAGCGGTGAATGAGACTTCCTGTGGCTCCACATCCTCGTCAGCATTTGGTGTTGTCAGTGCTCTAACAGGTGTGGCTTTAGCTTTTGTAGTCCTCCTGTGAGGCAGATGAGTGATTTGCAGCTGAAAGACGAAATCTATGGGGAGAGCACAGCCATTGACAGATGTGGGCCCCTGACTGGCCACAGGGCAGAGGGTGGGAAGTACACCAGCTGTCCCTGTGGCACTAGTGATGACTCGGGGATGGAGGTAGAGAAATGGGTTGAACCCTCAGGACTCCCAGGAAGCCCATTTTGGAAGGTCAGCACTGATGGTTCCTTGCAGTGTTTCCCAAACTTTTGACATATGTGTAACCCTTCTATAATTTTCATAATGCTGAGTACCCCTCGTACTCATGAGAACGTAGAATTAGGCGCAGCTAAGCACAGTGCAGTGCATATCCCCACCAAATTCCGGCGCAACATGTACCCCCACCAAACTCTTCCCGTACCCCTGGGGGTGTGCATATCTCACTTTGGGAAACACTGCCAGTAACAGCGCCCCTACCCCCAACTTTTCTGGATGGGTTTTCAGATGGACTCTTAATGAAATCACTCCGTTAGTTGCAAAAAGAGCCAGGTGTTGTAGGTGATCTTCTGCTGAGCCGGCACACCTTAGGGCCAGAGAGGAGGCAAGTCCTATGAAATAGGAAGGAAAGTTGCCCTAAGATGTAGCTGCCCTAAGCCAGCCATCTGTGCTTCCTTGTTCAGAGGTCTTGTCCTCACAGGCTCACTCACTCCCCTGCCACCAGTGTAGACGGGTGTAGGAGGGGAGATGCCTCACCAGAGAAAGAGAAGACCAAGGGATGGCTGTCCCCCAGTAGCTTCATCACCTGCCAGATGTATATAGCCTTCTGGGCTCTGTTGCTCTCACTCTCTCATACATGTGCACATGCATATAAACATCCTTCCCCTGACACACATGTGCAGCACAGTGTATAGTGAAGAGGTTAGGTGCCCAGGCTCTGAAGACAGACTGCTGGGCTAAGGTGGGTGCTGATGGCACCAGAGCCCTGGTCAGGTTTGGTCTTGTTGCTCACCTTGCCTCTCACCTATGTAGACTGACAAACTTCTGGCTCGTGACTTGTGCTGGGTTGAAGGTCTCTGATGAGATGGGCCTCAGTCATTATTGTAATTCTGAGGCCTTTCATAGGTAGGATGTGCTTAATTAATTGATCCATTCTGCTGTCTCATGAAGTATCAAATGAAAAGGCATTTTTATTTGATAATCACAACAGAGACCTGGGTAATGATAAGAATGATGAATTCTGTTCTTCTGTTTCCAAATTCAGTCTGGTTGCAGATTAGTTGTCTAGAGCCTAGGAATTATTTTCTTGGGGCTAAGATATCTCTTGATGGGGCTCTGTAGTTTGCCAAAGCCGCCCATCCCCTCTTCCCTCTTGTACTTGTACCTGGTTTGCTTTACTCGTTGCTGGACCTGCAGTGGTCCTTTAAGTCTGTGTTCCATTGTATCGGTGTGCTGGGCAGAGGACTGTTATGTACTTGATAGGACCATGCACACACGTTGTCAAGAGTTTGGTTTGCCATTGCCCCATAGTTACATAGAGTGTGACCATAAGGCCAACCTCTTGCTATTGTCATAGCAATTTCATGTGAATCTAAAATTACTTAAAAAAAAAAAAATGGGCCTCATCCTGCTGCAGGATGGGAATCAGGAGCCAGTTGCCTTTTTGGACAAACCAGTGTGTCCTCCAGGTTTTTGAGTTTTATTCAGAAGCAGTTCCAGGCACCTGGAAGTGTTCATTTCCCCTAAAGGCAAACAAGTTCATTCATACATACTGGGCTGGGATGAGTTTATGGCTCTCAAAGGTGTCTGACCCAGTGGTTTGATATATCCTACATGGTTCCTCCTCATTTTGATGGAAGTCAGATTTATATTAAAGATCTTGGCTTTTATCTGTTAGGTATGATATTCAGATAGTCTTAAGACTCTATTAAAAGATTGATCCAAACTGGAAGACAGCAGCCCTTTTTTATTCCAGTGCTGAGTCGAAGATGAATAAGGGAGCTGAGGGTCAGCCTGTGTGGTGTGAGCAAATGAGACAGAGCAACCAGATATAGATGTGACGCACCTGTCAGCCGACTGGAGTGAGCCTGCCCAGCCTGCCTCTTGGGGGATGCTCTGCCACAAACCATGTTAAATTATACCACATAGAAGTGCATATAAATGTCCTTTCCTTAGTTTTCAGGTCATATGTGACTTGAATTCACATGAGGAGATTAGGGCTAGCCTGGGATGAGTGACAAGACTCTGGTTAAGGAACCCAAGGAAACAAGCTGTAAATCCGCATACATCAGGGAATATTTTTTTTTCTCCCACAGGCCTTTTCAGGGCCTGTTAGTTGTTGAGTTTCATATGTTTGCTATTCATATCACAGACGGAGAAAGTGCAGATACCTATAGGAACACCATGGCAGGCTGTCTAGGGGGAGGGAGCTAATGAAGGGGCTCCTCTGTACTTTTCCTCTAAAGCTTCTGAGATGAATGTGGAGTTCTCAGGGGACCCCTGAGTATATGGTAGTGCCTGCAGTTGGTGCAGATGTTCTTTCTGCCAAAGTAGTGCAGAAAAGCAAAATGCAAACATAGCACTGTCTTTGCGGGCGAAGATGTCATCAAGTGCACTGAAAGCAGACGGCAGAGCCAGCGATGGGCGGTCTCAGGCTTTCCCTGAGTAAACTGTGCTCTTAAATGAGGCAAACCCAGTTGTAGAAAAATTTATAATCCGGTTCTATAAAGTAAACTACCTGAGTATATCAGGTGTGTAGTTAGTGACTGTGAGCATGGAGGGCAGCATTTATATGAATATCAGGTTCTTACATTGATCACTATGGGGAAGTGGTGAGTGGAACAGTAAACAAGGGAATAACACTTCAAACAGAAAAAGATTAAAGGAGCCGAAACCGGTTTGGCTCAGTGGATAGAGCATCGGCTTGGGGACTGAAGGGTCCTGGGTTCGATTCCGGTCAAGGGCATGTACCTTGGTTGCGGGCACATCCCCAGTAGGGGGTGTGCAAGAGGCAGCTGATCGATGACTCTCTCTCATCGATGTTTGTAACTTGCTATCTCTCTCCCTTCCTCTCTGTACAAAATCAATAAAATATATTTTAAATAAAAGAAAAAAAAAAAGAAAAAGATTAAAGGAGTGTGAAAGATGTTTCATCCACATAAAATTATATTTAGGAGTGTGTGTGTATGTATGTCTAGTGAGGGGTATGATAGAAAAATTATAAAAATGTTTGGTTTATTTTCAAGGCTGTGGATTTTCAGCTGATTTTCGCATTTCTTTTTTTAAATGTGTTCTAATTGAGTATTTTAAAGTGAGCATTTTTACTTTTAAATTTATTTTTATAAGCATAAAAGAAACCCAATCTTACAGCTATTTTGCTGTGAGGAAATGCTCTAGCTCATTCAAAAGCATTCAGGCATAAGGGCTTTGAGGGGAGGAGCAGAACAAGAAATGGGGAGGAGGCACCACTGTCTGGGGTGGCTGGTGAAGCAGCCAAGTCCAAATCCTACAGGAGACAGAGAAAAGCTCTCCTGAGCCTTAGGTGCCGACAGACCTGGGTTTGGATCTCTTCAGTGTGCCTTACTTGTGACTATGGTTGGAGACCTAATCCATACCCCAATTCCTCTGCTATAACATGGGAAGAATATGATAGTGTCATTATGCCTGGCATATCATAGGCACTTAATAAACATTTTCCCACTGAATGAAGAATGAATAAATGAATGAGTGTGTGCTTGATTCATCAAGGTCACATATGTATAGTCTGAGCTATGTCATAAATACTCAACAAATGGTGGTTTTCTGCCCCTGATCCCCATATTCTTTTTCTTAGCCAGTGTACCTGGAGAGGAAATTGAGCAGAGTGGGGTCTTTTAGCCTGAATTCCATGCTTCACAGCATGATCTTACATGGGGGGTGGGGGTAGACTTTGTCTACTGCTTCTCCTCTTTATGCCTCATCTCTAAAATTGATGTCCTGATAATACTTGGATGGATTAAATGAGATACCTAAAGACTTCATATGATGCCTGGCAAATAGTGAATATCTTTTTTATAATATAAAAACATATATTTTATAGTTAATAAAAATATTAAGAGTATTCCCCAGGTTGAATATACAGTACTTGGTTTGTTCTTCTGTAAATGGAGAGTATATTACAGAGTGCCTGGCACAGAATAGTTACCTAACAGATTGATAGATTCAAATTACCTGAGCATAGCACATCAGCATCCTGATTTTATGTGCACTGGAACCAGTTAGCTCATTCCCATCATGAAAGAACAGTTCTTGAAGGCATTCTGCACATGTGCCTTTGCTAACTCATCTTTTCACACAGGCCCCTCCCCCAACCCCGGCCTTCAGGCTAATTGCCAATTTTTAAAAGTATTTTTTTAAACATTCTTCTACCTACAGGGAAAATGAGGTGCTCAAAGTCCAGCTGAAGAAGTATGTAGGAGCTGTCCAGATGCTGAAAAGAGAAGGTCAAACAGCTGAAGGTGAGGGGGAGACCAGCCTGGGTGGGAGGGGGCTAAGCCTTTGCATTTTATCACTCCTGTGCATGGCACATAGTAGACACTCAACAGGTAACCAGTGCATATGCAGATGAATTAGAAAAGCAGGATTCTGAAAAATTAATTAGATGGAAAACCCTGCTGTGTATTCTTGTTAAACTAATATTGTAAGACTTATTTGCTAGATTATTAACAGTCATATCAATTTGTGTACTTAGGGGATTTTAAGTCTAGAGTCTTGGGACACCACTTATAACCTAGCAGCATGATTACGTCGCATTGGCTAGGGGTTGGAGCAGCAAAATGCCAACACGGCGGAGATCCAAGCTCTGGACTTAGGCTGATTAGCTTCCAGCCCAGCTCTGGTTAAATTTTCTAATCTCTCTTCACCTCCATTTCTCATCTATAAAATGGACTCATTGATAATGTCCATCTCATGAGGCAATCCATGTAGACAGCATACCATAGAGGAAGTACTGAGTAAATGTTAGTCATTACTAATATTATTAATCAGGTATACAAGTAGATAGAAAAGTGATTAGCCTTTCTCCAGATGGTCAGTTGCAATGGCGGAGTTGTCCATTCACTGAACCATACTTCTGCCCCAGCACTACTGCTCTAGGACTGTCCTCAGGAGGCCCCTCAGTAGCTGCAGTCATCACAGCTCTTGGTGAAGGGCCTCTATCCTGCGGCCATGTACCTGTGAGGAGACCTCCACCACAGTAATGCCCTCAGCCTCATTCCCCACCTCCTACCTGATTGCTGAGATTCTCAATTGGGTAGAGTGATGATTACAACAGCATCCTGATTTTATGGGCACTGGAACTAATTAGCTTACTTCTATCATGAAAGAACATTCTGCAAATGTGCCTTTGCTCACTCTTGTTGTAGTGGGCATCTGTGTTCTCTGGGGTATCCGTCCCACTTGCTCCGGTTTTCATATGACCAGCATCCTCAATCAGTGTCATCCTCAATCAGTGTCAGAGGTGGGGCTCCACCCTCTGTCCTGCGCTTGATCTTAGCTGGTGCTCTTGCTGGGTCTCAGGCTCTGGTAGGCCACAGGAAGGGTTCTTCCTCTCTGTTCGGCCTCGGAGGCTGTGGATGAGGCTATCACATATAGAGAGGAGCTGAACTGAGAGGCAGAGAGGAACCGAGTCTGATCAGGTCCTTTGAGGCCTTGAATTCAGCTGTATCTGATGTGATAGTTCAACTCTGAACTTCTTGTTGATTATAACAATAACTGCACCAATCCCCTGCCTCTGTTTTCCAGCTTGAGTTTCTTTTTGAAAGCTTATATGGTCCTGACCAACTGTTAGTTCCTTACTGGATATGGCATCCATTCTGTCCTCAGGGAGGGTGGTGTTTTTCCGGACTCTGTCTTTCCAAATGTGCAGTGTCTGCTGCTGCTGCTGCTGCTGCTATGTGAGGCTCATCCTCTCACCCTCCCTCTTGTTGGGTTCACTCCACTGTCATCTGTCCCAGCCACCACAGGCCCATCCCGTAGTGATGGATTTAAGGCTGCAAGCTCCTGTTGGCGTCCTCCTTTAATTAATCTGCCATAGGCTCAGGGATAGTGGGAGAAGAAATGGCCTGTAGCCAGTGGTGATCAGAGTAATTGGGAGATTTACTGGAAGGAACTTGACATTTCAAATGAGGGAGGCTTGGGAACAAATTCTTTAACAGTTTGCCACTGCACGTACTTCATGCTCTCACTTCAGGGTCTCGGTTTTCCTGGGCTTCAGAAAAGATGACTTGACAGTCAAGGAAATGGTTGATCATGGGTGAGAGGGTTCTGGGGACATTGTTTTAGCCTCAGTTATGTAGGCCTTGGGCTCTCTCTTCTTGGTCAGCCTCATGTTCTTGCCCCCAGTGTGCACAAAGGCAAGAACATCTTTATTTGAGGACAGCTTCTTGAGTCGTAAGGAAAGCTAGCTCATGACTGTGTGCGTCTGTGTCTGGTTCTAGAGGACTATTCAGCCTCATGGGATGATGAATCAGATCACATCACTCCGCTGCTTAGAAGCCCATTGCACACTCTTTGATGGTGGCTTCAGGGTCTGTGTGATCTGGGGCTTCCCCATGCTCTGGCCCCATCTCTCTCCACCCTCCCCTTGCTGTCTCACCCCGTCATACTGGCCTTCAGGCTGATTCCTCCCTCAGGACCTTTGTCCTTCTTCTGGGCTGCTCCTCCCTGTCTCTGCATGGCTGAACCTGCCTTGGCCAACAGGTCTCTTTCAGATGCCACCTCCTCTCCCCCCCTTCCCCCCCTCCCCCCCACTGTGCCTTCTCCTTCACTCTTTATTCCATCACTTCCTTTATTGTCATCACAGCACTTGTCAGCACCTCAGAGGCTCCTGGTTGTGGATTCCCTTCTTTGCTGTCTGTCCCACCCTGACAGTCCACAAGGGCAGGGGCCTTGCCTGTGTTCCCTGCTGTGTTCAGAGCGCCTTGCGTAAACTTAACCCCATGGCACTCCATTCATATTTATAATTCGATGAGTGGAAACCTAAGAGCAGCTGTAGTAGGACCTGTCCTCCTGCATTCAGGTGCCTGAAGGTCCATGGTAGCTAGGAGAGCTCAGCAGTGCCACCCAGTGATGTGCCATGATGTGCCCCCTCAAAACTACTGCTCTCTGCTGTGCCTCCGACCAGATTCTTCAGGTCCTTGTGACTACCCTTAGCACATGACTTGATTCCCCCATGGTTCCACTGTGCTTTGGTGACAAGAGTCATAAGATTCACTTTACCCCTGCTTAAACAAAACAGAAGTCTTGAAGTTCCCATATGCAGGGACGGCTTGATCCAGCGGCTCAAACAATATCAGTATATTTCTCCCCCATTACTCAGTGCCCGCCCTCCCTCCCTCCCTCCCTCCCTCCCTCCCTCCCTCCCTTCCTCCCTCTTCCCTCCCTCCCTCCCTCCCTCCCTCCCTCCCTCCCTCCCTCCCTCCCTCCCTCCCTCTTCCCTCCCTCCCTCCCTCCCTCCCTCCCTCTCCTTCCTTCTCCCTCCCTCCCTCCCTCTCCTTCCTTCTCCCTCCCTTCCCCCACTCCCTTATGTATTGGCTGTGTGTGCTGGTAAATGTTTAACATCCAGCCCTCGGGGAGGAAAGGATGCTTGCAGGTTCCCATGGTGTGCATGCGCCAACTGTGCTGATTGCAGGCTCATGGCTGTGTCATGAGTGCAGAGTGGGAAGAGGTGTGTATACACACACACACACACACACACACACACACACACACACGGTTCCTTGCACTGATGCCCAGGTCCGTGCCCCACTGTGTGTTGGCTCAGGCAGGTGATCTCATGCTGGCAAGAGGCTGCCAGCAGTTCTGGTTTAATCTTCTCAGCAACCTGGCAAGACAGGAGCTGCTCTTCCCACTAGTTTCCTTATAAACCATCTGCCCTCTATCCCATGTAGAGCCCTGGTTCTTAATCTTGGCTTCACATTGAGTCATTAAACATCCCAGTGCTTGGCCCTTGGAACCACAGCCTTGGAGGATATAATTTCCGAATTAATGGCCTTTAGGGTCAGCCAATATGTTGCAAATGTGCCAACATTCTTCAATTCTCCGCCAGCAGTAGCTGTCTCAAGTCAATCAAGGTTACTTTTTTTTTTTCTCTCTCTCCTTAAATTCAGATTTGGTCTTGGCACTTGCTTCTCTAAATAGGTCCCACCAATTAAGAGGACTGGGTAGGGCGGCAGGGAGTGCAGTGGAAGCTGTTCACCATCACTGTATGAGTTAATGCGGTGCGTTCCCTGGGTCCACCACCATGGGATTCCATGGGATACTAAGTGAGTGTTCACGCATTTCGCCTCTTTACCTTACACCGAAATATGGCCTTTTCATCTCTGTCCAGCACCCTCTCCCTCCTCATCACGAGGCTCCATCGCAGTCACACTTGTCTCCCCACCTGACCACTTTCTGATCCTCTCTGCTCATCTGATTTCTTCTTCTGGAAATGCCACTCCCCTTAGCCTCATCAGCCCAGATGTTGCATCTATTGTGAGAGCCAGCTCTTCTCCTCACTTAATCTAATCACCCTAGACCTTTCAGTTTCCTAAGCTCCTGTTACTAATGATGAGTAGTAGCCAAGGTCTAGAATTCCACTGTTTGCTCTCACAAGGGAGTTTGCTGTCCTGTCTTATGTATGTAGTCTGACCACACAGAGAGGATGAACTGTCTTAGTGTGTGTTGGTCAAGTACACAGCTGGTGTTTAGTCAAAACCTGTTGCCAGATTCTATCCAAGTCCTCTGAGGCATGATTTCAGAGTGATAGCAAGTTAATATAGATGGGAACAGCATTCTCTGAGAAGGAACAACATTTGGGGAAATGATATGGCAATACTACATAAGAGGAAGAGGATGATAATTATTGTTACTCCCCACTTCTACTAGAAGTGACCCACACACTCTGCTCATGATGCTTCAGTGAGGACTGGTCATATGGTCCCACCTAGAAGCAAAGGGGCATGGGGAGGGCTGTGTTGGCTGGGGCGCTGCTTTCCAGCAAGAATGTTAATGCCATGGTAGGCAGCCTGTTCATGCTGCTGTGCTGGGCACTCATTTCAATGCATGTGGTTTCTGTCTTCTAAGCCAGTTGTGTGGCTCCTTAGAAAGGAACCTCATATCTACCCAGTACTCTTATTTTTGGATTTGTGCTCTAGGGTCTCAGAAGGAACACCCAGTAGTTTGTAAGGGTCTGCAGTAGAAAGAGTGTCTAAGGATGTGGCAAAGGTATGTCTGTCCAAAATAACCAATTTTCTAGTCAGTCATTAATTGGGATGAAGAGACCATGTTGTCGCCAAAACCGGTTTGGCTCAGTGGATAGAGCGTCGGTCTGCGGACTGAAGGGTCCCAGGCTCCAATCCGGTCAAGGGCGTGTACATTGGTTGCAGGCACATCCCCAGTGGGGGGTATGCAGGAAGCAGCTGGTCCATGATTCTCTCTCATTGACATTTCTAGCTCTCTATCTCTCTCCATTCCT